TAACACTTAACAAAATTTATTACGAGTGTCGCAGCTAGGTATTTAACGCCATTTTGCATTTCTACAGATTTTCGGTCAGCCATCTTATATCGAAACGCTTATTTTGAAAAAAAAAAGTCCATAGCTACAACGGACAAATTAGAATTTTAAAATAACTACCAGAAAGCACTTTCGTGCGTGTTTTATTTTTTAAATCAACAATGGTGCCTTCTTTGATGAATTTCACTTCAAGAAACTGATTAGAGAACTGCAAATGATCACTATAAAATAAATAGGCACAATATGTTTATTATTCAATGAAACATGTTTGAATGAGGATATACTGTATAAAAATATATATATATATATATATATATATATATATATATATATATATATATATATAATATTAGTGGTAAATATCCACATACATATGCAAAATATATAAATATATAGATGCATACAATATACATATATATTTTTTGAATAAAAAATTCAAAGAGGATAGAATCCAGGTAGAACTCAATGTCCAGGACAGAGTAAGGATATTATTCCGGAGTTGTGTTTCTGTTTTCTTTTGGAATTTGTAGGTCTGATGAATTGGATCGTATTTACGATTCCAATGGAATAAATTATGACCCTGGAATATTAGTGTTTAAGCCTTTTTTTATTATATATATATATATATATATATATATATATATATATATATATATAGTAAAAAAACAAAAGAGCCAGACAAACCTAGCAAGGTTTCATCTAAGCGGATCGTCAGGGAAAGCCGGCATTCCTTGACGATCTGATTAGGTGAAACCTTGGTAGGTTTGTCTGGCTCTCTAGGTTTAGCTAGGTCTGCTCTACTCATTGGATTGAGCACTTTATTTAGTTGTTTTGGACACTCGCATCGTTTTTTTTTTCTTTGGGCCTCGAACTCCTATGCTGGACATTATTTTCGTTTAACGTACATGTTCTTGGTTCTTTTTTTAATACCTTTTTTTTCCCTTTGGTGTTGGCTTGTTTATTTGTAAATCAATATACCGAAGGTTTTCCGAGCGAGTATAGTTTCTTATACTCATAAGATTTCTATTAAGAATAAGTATATATATATATATATATATATATATATATATATATATATATATACTAGCTTAAAAGCTGCCCTATTTAAGCTAGCTCCTGTGGAGGACTATTGGTTTGGCCATCATCAAAATAGTTAGGGAGGAGCAGATGCGATAGGCATCAATAAACTATAGAACTCAAAATTGATCGCTCCATTTAAGTATTAAATTAGGTTTTACACTTACCCTTTAAAAGTTCAACGATAATTCTTCTGCTGCCACTTAATTTAAAGACGATTTGATGTATGCAGATCCTTATTTTCTGCACAAACAATTATTTTCATTTCATGGGTGACAGAACAAGGGAATATTTATAAGATAAAATTAATATAGTGTAAAGATGTGAAAATAGAAATTAGAATTAGTTATACATTCTACATTTGAAGAGTTAGAGAAATATAATAGCTAATTAAGTAAAACCTATATTATGAAATATAATAATATATATTTTTAACCTCGCAAAATCTGGCACCCCTGAATGTGAGCTCAACGAAAATCGTTCTCTGCGCCTAACTTTTCTACGGCTTTTGGATGAACTCTGAATCATTGAAATCGGACCTGTGGGAGTGGAGGAGTTGCTTGACACACACACACAAGCACAAACATACACGCTGTATATATATATATATATATATATATATATATATATATATATATATATATATATAAAGAAAGAACAGTAAGATATATAATCCGGTGTTCTTATAGATATTTTCATTTTTACAAAATAGTGCTCAATGTAAATTTACAGAGCATTGAAGGCTTTTAGCTTCCATTTTTGAAACATGGTTAGAACTGTGTAGCGAAAAAAAATTAATTTAAAATATAATATATATATATATATATATATATATATATATATATATATATATATATAGTACAGGTAAAATATCCGTTGGTATATAATCCAAGTGGATCCTAATAATATAAAATATTAAAACTGATCCACAAAAAGAGCTCAATGTATTTATTATGACAAAGTATATAAATTACACAACAGAAAATGCAAAACTAACACATGAGTATAGTCTATTTCAACTGAATTTTAAAAAATTCATTTTATAAAACTTCTTTTTCCGGCTTTCCCTTAGTTTCACTTTATTTTTCTTAGGACCCCAATTTGGGGTCTTAATGATAATATCTGGGTTAAACTTCCGGCACCCCCTTACCAATACTCGGGCAGTCTATCCTACCGAGTCTTCGATATAGGTAGGCTCTGTATCAATTTTTCAACTGTTGTGTTTGTTAAGTATTAAATTTTAAATTTCCAGTTCCAATACTGAATTTAGTCCACCGTCTAAATTAACTAAAAACTTAACGGAAGTAGTTTGTTAATCGTTTTTAATGAAACTTTTATAAAAGCGGTATTGCTTCCCAGATGCACAATTGCACACATATATAGAAAGCCACAGATATAATGTTTCACTGTATCTCAGATAATCAATGTGGCTAAACATGCGATGGCTTCAAGCCGGGATCGAATCCCAACCGATTTGACATATAAGTCGGAGACTCTCACTCCAAAGCCATCAGCGCACAACGGGAAGGAAAGGAATTTTTAACACATTATATACAATATACATGCTTTATTGGCTAACAGAGGGCTCATTTCATAGAGAAGAGCTTAGCATCATATATATATATATATATATATATTGTGTAAAAATTATGACAAAGTGGAAAGGAGTTTTCGTGTGACGCATTTCGTCCTTTAGGACTTCATCGGACTAAATTTGTTATGTTGGCAAGACTACACATGCGCATGAACGAGAAATGGTGGGAATTTTAAATTTACATATTTCAATATAATATATATATATATATATATATATATATATATATATATATATATATATATATATATATGAGGTGTATTTCGGGAGCAAATAATTATTTTAAACATGTTTGGTTAAATAATATTGAAAAGTTCTGTTTATCAATTTGCTAATTAAATTTTTCAAATTTACGAATTAGTTACGTACATATAATTGTTGTATATATATATATATATATATATTTATATATATTTGTGTGTGTGTGTGTGTGTGTGTGTGTGTGTGTGTGTGTGTATGCATGTATGTATCTCCAAATATTCACTAAAAATGAACACATATGATCAAAAAATGCTCCAAATTTAATCAAAATAAAATTTTATCGTCATAATCTTTGTATTATTATTAAGTGGAAAGACTAAAGAATGTTTTAATGTAAAAAATTTTTTTTTAATTCTTTTTAGAATGTTGGATGAAAAAAATTGTTTTGCTGACGTCAACGTGGGTCCATAAATTTGTACAGCGTTGAAAAACTAATTTGGAAATTCTGGATTTTAATGTCAATTTCACCTATGGGTCAATATGATTTGTATCAGTAAATCATTATTATCTACCAAAAATCTAAAAACGTTTCTTTTTTCGATTTAAATAACCTGCAAAAAACTTGATAAGCCTAAAAAGATAAATCACTCAATCAATTTCAAATATGCCATGTCACTCTATGAGTTCAACTGGCACGTAGTAACCCAGTACGGTCTGCCGTATAGTCGGATCATCGGCGACTAAATCGGTTCACTCATCAGGCATTTCTAGTGAGGAAAGTGAATAGATGTCTAGCAGGGTTAAAGACATCTGTCTTTAGAGGGGATAAACTTTCTTGTAGTCCCAACTGCCATCTAGCACTATGGGGTAACTTGGGCCCTATGGCTATGTATCCAGCCAATGCGGTGGTAACAAGCCGTCGCTGTACTGAAACCTTCCTCGACTTGTTGAAACCAACGATCATACGTCCCTGACCATGATGAGTATTCAAATTAGAGAATCACGGCTGTGGTTTGAGCTGGAGAGAAATGGGCTTCACCAGGTCTAATTGCTCAGAACACACTGAATATAACGAATACCTGATCAGGAGTTCAATTGTACAGCAACTTTACGACCCCACCCGGTCATGGGAATAATGATAATAGCTTCAAATCAATAACAGATGGCCACTCCAATAACATGTGAAGTTATTCTTTTATCCAAGAAACAATTTCCATTTGGAAAAGATTAATAATCAGGCACTTACTCTAAAGCACAATTCTTCGTGAAAACTAATTATAAAAACAGTAACAGGAATAATAATTACAATTCTCAAAATAATCTTTTGTATTCGCCGACACGTAGAAAAATTATAGTCACTATTGAAAGATTAAATTTTTAATTCAAAGTCATTGCTTTCTAAGGGAAATAATAATAATAATAATAATAATAATAATAATAATAATAATAATAATAATAATTTTTTAAAAAGAGCAAAAAAAAAAAAAAAGAAAAAAAGACAAACAAATAAAACACGCATCCACACACGCACACACAGATGTCTCAGCCTCGTTGCTGTTGGCAGAGTTGTTTTTCAAATTCCCTCTTAAAACCAGAGTAATTCTTACGCTCGGCGTACATCCGGGCATCTCTTCAAACCAGATTTGAAAATCCTTGTCAATCTAATGTAATTGAATCTTTTTGTGTGTGTGTGCGAGTTTTATTGTTTTTTTTGCTACAGTACATCTCTCTTTCTCTTTCTCTCCCTCTCTCTCTTTTTCTTTCCTATCCCCCTCTCTCCTTTTTTAATTTTTTATTTTTTATTTTATTTGTTCCCTGATTTAGAATTAGGTTCAATTTGGTTTCCATGCACATTTTTTTTTAAATTTTATTTTCTCTCGATTTTCAGCTAATATTTTTTTCTTCGGGAATAGTTTGTTTCGTCCTGTAATATTGTTAACGTAATTTTTATTTTTAACTTCAATGTCAAACAACTTAATTGAAATTTGTCCTGTGGCAGAATACGAATATTTTTAATTATTTTAAAGGGTGCTTGCTTATATTTAATTTATTTCGCTTCATCATTATCGTCAGCATCATTCTCATCATCATGATACTCCTACCACGTTTTCTTCATCCTGAGGCAATTGTCACTATTACAATTCTCTTTTCATTTTTTTTTTCTTCCTCGATTATTTGTTGCTATTCATATTTAGGTATATTCCCCCTCTCCCTTTCTCTTTCTCTCTCTTGTTTTCCTTTTTTCATTTCTTTCTATTTTTCTCATTCGCCTTCTTTCGCTTTCTGTCTTTCTCACATATGCATACACCTTCACACCCTCTCTCATAGTCTCTTTTACAATTTCTTCAACTATTTCACTTCCTGTCTCTCTTCCTTGTCTACTTCCACTTTCTTTTCCATTCTTTCTTCCCAACATATAAGTACACGCTCTTTCTTGTTTCTTGTTTTCCCTTTCTCCATTTACCCTTTTTCTTTTTTCTTTCTATTATTCTTCCTTTATTATTATTATTATTATTATTATTATTATTATTATTATTATATTTCGATTTCTGCTATGGTCACACTACCTACCAAGTCTGCAGAAAAACCTAACACAGGTAGTGTTGTGTTATGGCTACATTTCATGATTTGTTTTTCTAACTCCCATAACATCACTAGCGTTACATGGAGAAAATTCTTCTTAGTGTGTGGCCTGTACTTATCAAGACAATTTTTGTATTTCTCTTAATCTGGGATTTCCAGGGATTTTTTTTCAATATATTGTTGTGTTCCATTTTTATCATTCCAAGCACACCTACTATGACTGGTACTATTCTTGGTTTCAATTTCCACATATTTTCTGTTTCGATTTCCAGGTTTTATACTTCGATAGTTTTCCAAATTCCTTGGTTACTTATGTTACAGTCTACTTGATAAGCCATATCAATTAGTAGGCAAGTTTTTTCTTTTCAGTTTTTGACAATTATGTCCAATCTATTTCCTGTCTGTAAAGATGGTGTAATTCCATAGAATTGTAATGTCTTCTATTTCTGTAACCGGTGCTGGCTGATGTTCATACTAGTGTTTATTAACATCTTTTCGTTTACACATTGTCCAGTGTAAATATTGCGCCAATCTCTTGTGACGATTTTTATATTCGTTTGGCGTAAGTATAAAACATCCTGAGGTTACATGATTTATGGTTTCCTGATATTTGTCACAGAACCCGGATTCTGGATCCACACTATTATGCATGATATTCGCCTGAAATTTCCTAATGAAAAGACTCTGGTCTTGCGCTGCAAGAATAAAGCCTTCCGTTTCAGCCTTTAATCCAGATGCTCGTGACCATCGATGAATGTTAAGTATATCAACATCGGCTTTGTTAGCCTCGTTTTGGATATTGGCCATGCAGAAGTTTATCTTGCCAACATTGTTTCATCTGTTGAAGAGCTTTATCGTTGGCTTCCTTTTCATATTTTTTGCCGCAACAGTTGGTTCTTGGGTTCTGTTTTGGTTTTCTAAAGAAAATCTGGTTTGTATTTCGAACCTTCTTTCATGATTGAATTTTTCTTCTTTCTGTTTTCGTGTTGTTTGACTAATTTTCTCATCCAGACATTTGCTGTTTTCATCTGTGTTCGTAAGCCAATAATTGTTGTATTGTATGACAATTCTAGCTGAATAAGACCTCTTCCAACTTCTTTACTTCTTGTCTAGATGGTCTGCATCAGACTTTGGATGATGCATGTTATGCTTAAAAAGAAGCTTTCTTGTCTTAGAATCCATGTTTGGCATATATATATATATATATATATATTGTTATATATATATATATATATATATATATATTGTGTTCTTTGACTAATTGTATCATCCAGTCCTTAGTTTATTCCATGAATGTTACTAAGCTAATAGTCGTCTTGTATGACAATTCTAACTGAATACGACCTCTTTCACCTTCTTTACGTAGTATATATAGACGGTTTGCATCAGCCTTTGTATGATGCATGTTATGCATAGAAAAAAAGCTGTATTTTCTTAGAACCCATATGTCTGATATAATTTAGAGACCAGTTCAAGATGTTGAAACTATATTGAACCACCGGGAAGGCAAGGCTATTTATGGCCATAATTCTGTTCTGAAAATTAATTTAACTTCTTAATATCAGTCGTACTCTTCAATAGTACTCTTTTCGAATAATTTCTTTCATTTTTTATGGTGAATTATTTCGCTTTTATTTACACTAGCTTCTTGTTCTAAATCTTTGATTGTTACCCCAGAGTCTAGATAATAGGGGAGGTTTGTTGAAGGGAACTTCCTAAAATTTAGCACATTTATCCAAACCAAATTCCATTCCAATGACATCACTGAAACACTTTACTGTTTTCAGGAGACCTCCCAGCTCAGGCATTCCTTGCATACAACTTTAAGTCATCCACGTAAAATAGATGGCTTATTTTCTTTTGAGAAATCTTATAGCCATATTCCGTCCTGTTAAGTTCGATGGTTAATGCTGTTAAGGATATGAAAATACTAAAGGGGACAAAGAATCACCTTGAAATATTCTTCTATTGATTTTTATTTCACCAGACTTAAAGATTCCATTTATATTATTTAGTTCTTTTAAGTGTTGTTTTCCATATCGACATACTTTGATGAAAGTGAGAACGACAGGTGATGCCTTGTATATATTTAAAGACGTTAAGTTCCGGGAATGCGGTACACTATCAAATGCCTTACGGTAATCTACCAAAGCAGTACTGAGATATTTCTTCGTCCAAAGTCATCCTATTAATAAGCAATTCGTCTTTACATCCGTAAGAGCCACATTTTTTTTTCTAAGAAGGAGCATATATGTTTTGTCAGAATAGATGTCAACAGTTTGTCAGGAATGGAAAGACATCTTCACGGCTAACATCCGCAATGCCACACACATTGCAGCGAACTACGCTCATTCTCTTCGTGTTTCATTGGTGAGGTGCAAGTTCAAATGGAGCAGCTTCTCCTGCAAACCAATGTTCTGTAGAACCGACTCCCACAAGGATTTTTCCCAATCATTACAATCTTAAGCTGTTCAAGTCTAGGGTTAACCGTTATCTTCCCCACATATTCATATAAACAGTGCCGCTTACTCTGTAACCTTCTACCTTGTGTGGCTCTTTGGCCTTGTACAGGATGAAAATTTTTGTAAAAAATGATAAATATATAACGGCTTGCAACTCGTTTGATGCATGCCCACTTGCTAGGTTATCTAGTTAATTTCTGGTTGCAGACACCTGTTCAGGTAAATTTGTCTTTCATCAACACTCGCAAAGCCAAAATATGGTATATACTGCTACTAAGCTTACCGGACCGTAGTTACATTTTCTTGTGGGGAACATATTATCTAGCGCGATCAAGAGTTTGAACAAGGCCATTATATTCTAAGCCATCGGTTACGATGATTTGTGATACTACCCAATTTCACCCACAAGGTTTGGAGCAATCCGTAATATGACCCCGAAGGCGCCATACGTTGATATAGTCTCTCTAGACTAGTATTTTCAAAATGTTCTCTCATTGACAAGATTCGAACCCAGGTCTCTTGATCGGGATGATAACGTTCTAACCCTTAGGCCACGCTTACGATAACGAATACTTATATAAGTAATAATAATATAAGTGATAAACTTCGTAGTTCGTATCAGATCCTTTTCCCATTTCATTAAAATGTTATGTTCGTTTAGCATGCAGGTGGTCATGGATCTCCACAGCTTCCTTTTTTTACATTTTGTGACTGACTTTTTAGGAAAGATATCAGAATAGTTTCTTGTTACTAAGGTTTTCAATTGAGAGTTGCAATTCTCCTAGTCTACCACTCATGATTAAAGTGTCCAGTCTACTTTGCTATTTCATCTTAGAGCGACAAGAAGAAATAGATTTATGTCTTTCCCAAGGGAATTACTGCGAATGTGAACGTAATAGACACGGTCAGAATTCGAACTCGTTTCGCCCATACCAATTTCCGTGCTGATATCCATTACACCAAGGGTCGGCAACCTACGACCCGCGAAGGCATTTTGACCGGCCCGCGAGCCTGATTACCAATGACTCTATTGTTTACATGAGACGAGGCTTTCGAATTCGACAAAAGGCCTGCTGTTATCTTCCTCTGATCCACCCAACCGAATTTAAATACTATGACCGCAAAAACACGATCAAAACCTAATTACCTCCATTTCAGCGTAAAAAAAAAAAAATAAACATAAGACAAAAACTGAGAGCCGATTTGACAGACTGACCGACCGGCGACAGCTTCAAAAGGACAATGTTGTCTCACTCGGCTTTTTTATTTCATTCCTCCAACAGCCCCCCCCCCCAAATCGCTTACCCCTGCCACCTACCCTATGTAAGTTACTGGAATCTTTCAATAGGCCATGTTCTTATCTTATCATACCCCTCTTCTGCTGTGTGGTTAATGTAATGATTACACTAACCACACAGCAATAATTTTCATCATTAACATATAATCATCTTTAACTTCTTGTTCGTGATTATCTTTCTGTATGTTAAATTTCCCACTCGGTCATTTTTCCTTTTCTCTTTCGTTTTATTTCTACTCTTTATCTTTTCTTCTTATTTTTCTTCTTCGTTGTCTTTTTATTCTTTCTTTTTTTTTTTTTTTTAACTTTGTCTCTTCTTTTCTGTTTCACAGAGAGCTTCTCTTGTTAAAGAATTCCCTCGCAGATGGAATGTCAATGATAGAGAGACCGTTTGGCTTCAGTAAATACAATTAAACGTTGAACGAAATTTTCCAGGATTTAGTGGGAGAGCAATAATTAAACAGACTCCCTTTCTCTAACTTTATCTCTATTTCTATCTCGCTTCCTCTTTCTCCCGGCTCTCTTTCTCCCATCTTCGTGCTCTTTTCCTTTCTCTCTATTCCTTTTTCCTTTTCTCTCACTTTATATCCTCTACGGGTTCTCTTTCCCAATTCCTCCCCTTATATCTCTTTTGTATTCTTCTTCTCTTGCTTTCTCTCTTTTTCAAATATGCATACACGCTCGCACAGTCTCTCATATTCTCTTTTTCAATTCCTTCAACTATTTCAACCTTTCTCTTTCATCCCCCTCTCTCTCTGTGTATGTTGTCTTCTTTCTTTTTCCCATTATCTCTTTCCCACTCTCTCCTATTTCTCTTCTGCAATTCCGTTTCTCCTTTCTTTTTTTCTTTTAATCGCTGACATTCTTTATTATTATTATTATTATTATTATTATTATTATTATTATTATTATTATTTAACAAAATGATTGACGTAACTCTTCCAATATTTTTCATCCCTTAAAGAGCGCTATTTAAGAAAATAAAAATAAAAAAAGATACGCTTTGGCAATGTTCACCAATTTTTAGACAGTATGTCTACCTGTCGTCAAATTGTTTAAAAATTGTATATAAGTATAGAAATATAAAATTACAAAAAAAAATTCAACAAAAATTATAATGTCTTTATAATTTTTTTTATATTTCTACAATTGTATACAATTTTTAAACATAACTTGAAGAAGTCAGACATAATGTCGAAATATTGTTAAACATTTTCCTTAAATCGCGCTCTTATCTAAGTGTTCTTTCATTTATTTTTATTATTATTATTATTATTATTATTATTATTATTATTATTATTTTCTTTGATTTCTGGCGTTTACACATTTCTTTCCGGGTCCCGCCCAGGGACCTAAGGTTAGAAATGGCATCATGACACTTTCCACTGACAAAAAACAAAAAAAAAATTACATAGATAAAGCCCTTCGTAAAGTGTGGGCTGTACTTGTCAGAACAATCTCTTTGAGGCATGAACTTTCAGGAATCCCTTCAATTAGTCTACTGCAATCTTTTCCAACCAATATAGGGCTCCAACTACAACAGGGATTGTTGATGTTCCCATATGCCACATTTTCGAGATTTCTATTTCAAGGTCCTTGTATTTTGACAGCTTTTTGAATATCTTCAAAGATACATTGCAGTCAGCAGGGACTGCCATATCAATAAGGAGGCACTTTTTTGTTTGTGGTCTTTAATAACAGTTTATTATTATTATTATTATTATTTCTGTTGTTGTTGTTGTTGTTGCAAAAGGGAACAGCACGCACGCCAACAATGTGATTCTAGGGCGTGAATATACGACGCCCAATATACCTGTCGTTTCAACTCAGTGTGATAACGATCTACCAAATGTGCGCGATACGGCGAAAATTTTTGATAAAGCAGTACATAACGTTATAGGTGGGTCCCAATTAGAAATACCTTCAGGTTGGGTAACCCAGTTTGCAAAGATGGTGTCCGACTGAGGTTGTTCTCAAGTATCCATATGGGACTTCAGAGTCGACTCGTCTTATTCCTGCTTTCAAAGTTTAAAAACTCTACAAACCCGGGCATGATTCTCCTATATTGCTCCTCTTCATATACAGAACTGCACAGATTCTCGGGCCCTAAGAAACATACCCATTTGGTTAGGATCTGACAAATGACAGATATATATGAGATACTAAACGGCGTGTTTAATGTAGCCCATCTTATATTAACAAAAAATAAATGTGCATCTTCACGATCACGAGACCCATAACCCATTATGATCGTAGGGTCGAGTGCAGGGCGACTAATCCTCGTCAACTCAACGCCGCCAACATGTCGACTCAATGCCGCCGACTCAACATCACCGTTTCACCTTCATGACAAGTCCAGGACAACTAACCACCAGCCCACTGAGCGGAGTGCGTACAGCTTTCCTTCTGCGTTAAATCGTTTAACTCATGACTGAAGCATCTGGCATTGATCCCAGTGTAACCTGAGATATGCTTGCTAATACTTTCCTTATTATTGCACTTCGCTTTTTAACAGTGTATTCGGCACGATATTTCAAATCTGTGCGAGCTTTAACTACTTCTATATTGGCCGCTGACAAATTTTGGGTACGCTTGTTTGCTTCCTAGATAAATGCTCCAAACTTCGTATGAATCCTTTCATTGCACCAAGAGCCATGAACACAACGCCAAATTTTTATGTTACCATCTCTTTTACTAAACTTGTCAAATATAAGCATATGGCCTTCGTGTTCAATTTTTGTCTTTTCTTCTTAGACTAAGAATTACCATTTTCAGTGTGCTAAAACGTTTGAAAATAGGTTGTTGTAACTAACAAATCACTAAGACAAACAGCCAAACATCAAAAATCTCTACGATTCACGCGTTGAGTTGTCTTCGCGCTGAGTAGGCCGGTAGTTAAGGTGCTGAGCCAGCGGTGTTGAGTCGGTGGTGATAAAATGCCCCCTACCGCATATGGACAGCTGCAGTAAGAGTGGTGTTTCCTGGGCAAGATAGCCTGACAGAACCTAACCTTGTCTAGGATGGTTTTGAATTCAGAGTTTTTCCTTCTTCTAAAGCGGTTACCACCCAAGGCTATAGGACCCAATCTGTTCTGTCATTTACGCATAACTGAGAGGGAGAAGAGATAGATTCATACCTTTCCCAAGGATATTAGTACGTAAATGAATGTAATGAACACGACTAGAATTCGAACTCGGCTCTCCGATTTCTCAAGCGTGCAAAAAATGCCCCTCTAAAATAATTATGATCAGACGCCATGAGATCCATATATTATTATTATTATTATCATTATTATTATTATTAGCATTACCACTACTACCTGAATATTCGAGAAATCCAATAATAAAGAAAAATATGTGCTCTCCGGCAGGTTTAAATAAAAAGTTAATTTCCTTTCTTTACAAATTGCTTTGTTTACGTTAGGATACGAAACTGGGCAGATTTGTCTATTTCGAGAGTCTGAGAAAAATTGTGTTTAATGGCAATTTTCAACTTTGCTTGGTCGTCAGATCTAATGACGGTTTAAAGATAGATAGATAGATTTGACGCTCAACTTCTCGAGAGCACCTCTTTGCGGCTGCTCGGTCTCACGTTCACTGCTGACCTGAGATAGAACAAATACATTGAGTCAATTGCTTCGTCCACTGCAAGGAAAGTTGGCTCCCTGTGCGCACCAGGAAATTTTTCTCCCCGGAATCGATCCTCCAGATCTACAAATCAACAATTCGCCCTTGCATGGAGTATTGCTGCCATATATGGTCTGGAGCCCCTTCTGTTTGCCTCGGGGTTCTTGATAAGCTCCAGAGGCGGATATGCAATATAACTGGCCCTGTTCTGGCATCTTGTCTACAATCACTCTCTCACAGACGCGTCGTCGCCACTCTCTGTCTTTTTTACAAATACTTTCATGGCAATTGCTCCGAGGAGCTGCATTCGCTGGTTCCCAGACTTCATGAATTCAAGCGCCCTACGAGGCTGGCATCCCGCTCTCACCCTTTCACTGTCGAAACTACTAAATGTAGCCTTCTCTTCTACTCCAATAGTGTTGTGGAGTGGTTTCACAGTGGAGGCTTGTATTTGTACTAAGTCGGTCCTAAAATAGGTTCGACGTACAAAACGTTAGGAACTTGATATAATAGGAAAGAGAAATCTAGTTGTGGTCGCTGATACTTTAGTATCCGACCAACGGTCGTCCGGCATCGACTGACTGACCGAACCACTGAGCCGCCTCGTTACTCTTACTACTCCTACTTATTATAGGTGGGAGAGTCTATTAACTATAGAATAGGTGAGTTCCACTATGACAAATAGCTTCATGTTTCGCACCTCTCGCCTGTGGAATTCCCTTCCCTATTCCAGTTTCTCTGAGAGCTATAATCTCCAACAAATGTAATGTCAATCGACATCTCCAGTTGTCTTGATCTATCCACTATCCTTCTCCTCATCCTTTCCTCTATCACTCCTATCTGATCTTGCTCCAAATCTTCTGTAACCCCTTGCGTCCTAGTGGCTTCCCGCCTTCCTTGGGGTGAAACGCTTAAAAAAAAATAGATGATTGAAAGGTAGTCAACATATGTTTCTGATAATAAGGAGAATAAATAAGTTGCTTAATGAAATGTGTAGGATTACAAGCCAACAAATTATACTAATATTGTCAATAAAATTGATATTTATTTCCTATAAACCTTTTGACAGAAAGGAAGCACTGAGGGATAAATTTTAAAGTCGGAATTTTCGAACACGCCTGTGTTCTTTTTCGACGATGTAAGGAACAAAGTGAGTCTTACTCTTTGTTGTTCATTGGAGGTCTCCCTCTGGAAGTTATACTCTCTGCGTAAACCCAAATTTCTGTTTAATCTCTCAATATTTGAAAACTTCCCAACAAAACGCAGAAATCAACCCGGACAAAAACTACTTAGCCTCCATCATCGACATCTCCAACCCAACGCCCATAAGGTTTCACAAACCAACTACGTCAACATATCTAACTACAAATTATCAACAATAATTTTTCACCTTCCGACAAACGTTTTTGTTCTTTTCCCAAAGTCATTGTAATGACGACACTGATCAATTGAACTGGCCTGCTCGTAAAAAAAAAAAAAAAAAAAAAAAATAAGAAAGAATATATTTTAACAATTTTTTGTAGACTAGAATTTTTTTTTCAACATACTGATGCGTGTAGGAATCCTCACGGCATTTAGTATCGTTGAAATTCTCGCTAACATTTTTTGGCAAAATTTACAAACTCTACACATGAAATTTGAATAAGCTGATTTGGTTGAAAAAATACTTTGACAAAAGCCTACTTTTTGGTTTGATAATTTCTTTAATTTTAGAACTTCATGGTAAACAATATTTTTTGAGAAATTTTTTTTTTTTTTTCATTTTTAACAAAGAACAAATTCTTAGTATTTCTTACTCTTGACCATGGGTAAATATTTCTCTGGAGCCAAATTCCGACTTTTTGAAGCGTTTAGCGAATTTGAAACTGGATTCTTGTAATGTAAAAACTTAAAGAAGTGATATGCAAAAAAGAAAAGATTGCATTTTTATTAAATAATTGTTATTTTAATCATTAAATTGTTTTTAAAATAAAGGAAGTAGTTTGTATGTTAAATAATAAAAACTTTTAATTTTTCCAAAAAACTTAATGAAAATTTATTGCATTAAGTTACGCACCCTAGTGAAACCAACTGTACTTTGTACCCTCTTTTCTGTTTGCACTCTCCCTAAAATTTGGTTTCGATCGGTCAATGTATGTCTGTTTTAGAGGGGGGTGTCGGACGGACAGATGGATTAACGGGCGTCACAGAATTTTATATATAGAATAGTTTTATATTTATTGGGCCC